AGAATGCTGACGCCCTTCCCACCCACACATATAACACACCTTCTCCCCAAGGAAGAGTGTCTCTACCCAACCAGCACCCTCAATAGCTAATTTTTCCTGAATGATATTCTCGAACGAATGAAAACAAGTGAGCTCACTGTTTACCTGCCTCTCACTTGGTCTACAACTTTCAAAACCCAGGATCTAATAGGATCTACTTGCAGAGCTAAATTTTATTTCACAATGTTTCATGTTTTATTCTCTTGAGTTACACGTAGGAGGAGGTGAAACAGGAAATCTCCATTTGTTCAAACATTCATCTGGGTTTTATAAATCCCCCTAAAAAGTAGTGAATGACAACTATATAAACAGACTAGGTCTGTCCTACTTCAATGAGACTGTACACAAATAACCAGGATGCTAAAACCTGTGTTTACAAAAATCCTTGCTTGCAGAACATGTATTAAAGAGGGTAGAAAGGGTTTGGCAATTACCTTGCTGGGCCTCGGTGCCTCAACCTCTAAAATGAAGAGGTCAGAAAGAAGGACCAGCAAAGTTGCTTTTAGCTTTAAATCATGGTGATTCTATGTGTATTTGGCTGGGGGACAGGGACTTTAAATTACAAAAGACTTCTCACTACAGAACTTCCTTAAACATTAAAGATATACACATGATTTGGTTTTGTTTTAATTCAGCTTATACTATGTTTCAAAGAACAATCTTCTCTAAATGAAGACAGGTCTATAACCACACTAATCTCACTGACTTCTAACCTGCTAGCATAAAGAGAGAAATGCTGACCAAAAAATAGTTTATAGGTAGATTCAGCAATTCTACAGTATTCTGAAATAAAATCACTGGGTCCTGAGTTTTTCTGGCTCTACTGCATTATCTTTCACCCACTCACTTTTTGGCTACTTTCTGGATCACCAACAGCCAGGAGCAGGAAATTTACTCATCCATATAATCCTGACTGTTCAACGGCATAATCTGGGGGCAAGAAAGGTAGGATGCATATTCAATATGATAAAAATTTCAGAAGTGAGGGGAAAAAGCTCCAAATGCATTTAAGTTTACAGAGCTGGAGGTGTCTGGCAATGCCAAGTTATCAAGTGATGTCCACTGTAGAGAAGAGAGTATGACAGATCTCTAAATGGATTTTCCACTTTTAGTCCTTGTCAGCACACAACACTCCAAGCCTAATGACTACATAAAAGGAAACAGATAAGCACGTCAAAGTCTGGTGTTTAAGAGCATATGTTGTACCTTTTACATTATGTATGACATCAAGGTCAGCTGTACCCCTTGGTTGCATCAGAGCTGAACTACTGCTTTAAACTCTTTTTCTCTTCATTCCCTCTGCAAAGCAAAGGCTGGGGAAGGGCAGGAATAGGGGATAAAACTTACAAAATAGTCCTTAGTGATGAATGATATTATATAAGCTGCCACACCATATGAGGTTAAAACATAACACCACACAGCATGGTAGCTTATACAATATCATTGGGATTCTTTATTATAGAGGAGGATATTAATCATCACTATGGAACAACTAAACTTTTTTTGGCCAAGGATTAACTTTAAAGAATGGAGACCATTCACTCATTCAATCTACAACATTTAATGAGCACCTTTTACTCTGTAGGTCCTGTACATACAGCGGGGAATGAAACAGACATTGTTTTTCCCTGGAGAGCTGTGGTCTAGAAGAGATGTTAAGCAGTGTGGGGAGAGCCAGCAAGGAAAGGAACAGGTGCTCTGAGAGAGGGCAACAGGGGATCTGAGTTTAGGTTCAGAAAAAGTCTCTCTAAAGAGCTGACCAAGAAAAGGAGGTCAGGTGGAGAGAAGGATATTTTGGGCAGGAAGACCAGCAAGTGCCAACGTCCTAGAATGGGGAGCTTGAGTTCTTCTATATGTAGAAAAGGAGGAGCCAGGAAGGACATGGACTGACTGGTATAGGAGGAGCCCAAGGTGGAAGGTGGGGCATTCTGCAGAAGAAATGACACCTGTTCCACAGACACAGAGAGGGTGGGTGTGGACGGAGATGAGTCTGTCAGTCTGGGAACAGGAAGTTGAGGGAGTTCTCTAATGGCTACTGTTTTCTTTGTGAAATAGCAGGCCTGGTGAGGCATGAGAGTAAGAACTGGGTGAGGTGGTGGTGGGAAATGGCTATTACGGGAAATAGAGGAGCAAGCCGGACTCACTTACCTCTCAACCCTCACTCTTTTCTAAGTCCCCACAAAGTGACACCTCGCCCACCCCTTAACAGTGGCTTTCTCAATTTCTGGTACCAAAGCTTCGAGAACCAGAGCAAAGGAGCCCTGGATGCCTTGATGCTTAGCACTAGAAAGATTCTCAGAGATCTTAACTGCCACTCACTTTAACTACTTCATAATTAAGCAATTTACTAAGGAAGCAACTAAATGTCAAATAGTTGCTATCAGCCTATAGCCAAACAGGCTATCAGCCTATCTCCTCAGGAAGCCCCATCCACTGGAAACTGTTGATATCCTCTTTTTAATGGTAGTCACCTTTTTAATAGAGTGAGTTTCTTCCTTCATTTCCCCTTCTTTCCTATTCATTCTATGTCTGAGTAATTTAAACTCATTCAGTTTTCAATAAAGCAAGACCTGGATTATTTTTCTCTGTTTAATACTCAAGCACAATCACTTATTCATTGATAAGCAGGAAAAATTAAATCAATTATTTAGGAGGTGGCTATAGGCTGGGGAAAAAGATCCAGCACTCTGGGCACAGAGTCAAGTACGTTTTAAGCTCTGATGGCTTAACAATATCCCCAGTCATTTGCTTCTACATTCACGCATATGCAAAAATATGCTGGCCTCCAAGGACTTAAGATTCAACCCCAAAGTATACTAGTCTCTCACTGCAGCTCAGAAAAATGACTTAAAATTATCTCCCCTTACAGCGAATCAGGCATGAAGCATCCAAAGGCAGTTTTCTTGCAATACAGACATTCTTAAGAACTCATGGTGATCTCACACTAAATGGGATACATAAGTTCATCAGGATGGGGTGGGGGGGAAGCTATGTATAAGAGGGAAAGGATTAGTAACGATAGAGAAGACAGCTTGAGTTATTTACACAACATAGCTCACTTCATAGACATCTAAGTGGTGGTAGCTAACCGGAAGGTTCTAGATTACAGCCAATAAACCGGCCTTGGAGAAAACACACACAAAACACACAGACACCTATCCTTTATTTCCTGGCAGAAGCTATGATGATTCTATCTGATTAATAAAGTGTTCAATCTCCCTCAAGAGTTATTCAGTCTCCCACCCTAATTGCTATCCATTTAAAATTCTAGTACCTCAGATTATTTTAAAAGAAACATTCTGGGCTTTCTTTAAAAAGGAGAGAGCCAGATCATTTGTGGTGGATCTACAGAATGTAAATGATGACAAGTAGAGGGAAGGTGAGGAACAAGTAGAAGGGGCCCCATTAACCTCTTCAAAGGCCAGTCTACAGGCTGCTTCCAAACTTACAACCAGAGAGCTGGGCCCTCGAAGAGGGAAGACTGTGGCTATTGCTAGGGGAATGCATAATACACACTTTGGGATACTGTTTTTCCACTTTCTCTCCCACTCCCTGTTTCCCAAAAGACAGGGAAAACACACCTGGGAGAAAACGCCAACTTAAGTGCTACTTGTAATTCACACAGAAGTTCACCCTGGAGTTCTCTCAGCCTGGTTCCTATTTGCCTTCAACTACCTTTGACTTTGAATAAACTGCTGTTATAAAGACATAGAAAAGAAAAGCATCTATCAGCACACAGCTCCATCAGAATAGAGGCCACGGCAAGAAAACATTACTCCCCCCATACTCCACATCAAGCTCAAAAACAATGCTCCTGGCTGTCATTTTTCATTTATGCCAGCCTCATATTTCTATTAAACAAACCTCCTTTTTATTTACTCACACAGCACAATAAGGTAAACGTGAGCCCACAAAGACTATATGGTGAAACACAAGCTTTACTCTGGGAGGGGATCAGTAAAAGGCAGAAGGGGACAAGTTTCAAGGGCTCTTCCTAACTGGTGTCTACCAAATGGAGAAATGATGGGGTTGCTCCTCTGTCTGCCAGAGCTGCTGTGATTGACTTGAAATTAACCAGCTTTCCAAGAGACATGAAAAGAAAGAGGATTTCACAATCTCGAACAGTCTCCCCTCTTACTCTCTAATTTTCCCCAACCACCCTCACTCCCACCCCCCACTTACAAGAGGACTTTTGTATACATAAAGTTTCAAGGAACAAAGCATACAAACACTCACACACAAATAAACTCCCCAAACTAACACCAGCGTATAATTGTGTTTTGGTTGGAGCTTTTCCAGCCCTGTCACCCGTTCTCTGTTAGGAGTAAATGTAACCCTTTGCTTTTGCGAAGTTAGAAACAGACAAACTCTCCTCAGTTTCAAGCTGCACAAGGACCCCCTCATATCTTTCAGCCCCCTTAAATCCCCAACGAAATGAACTCACTGCTGAAAGGCAGCAATGAAAAAAAAAACTAATCTATATCTCAAATACAGATTTTCGCTTCCCCTCACTCAGCTTCCCCTTTTAGCCGGAAACATACAGCGTTTCTAGTTTCTGAAACCCCTTTTCAAGGGACCCTCCACTCAGGGCTCTTCCAGGGGATCCCGCTTTCAGTCGTTCTGATGCAGGCAGGCAGCCCTTTTCCAAGCACATTTTGCATTCCTGGAATCCAAGTGGGGCTCTTTCGTTTCCAGAGAAAGCTAAAAAGCAGACTTTAGTGGGCTGGCTGAACTAGGTCCGACTCTTCCTCCCCTCCCCTCTGAAAGGCTGCGGGGGGAGAAGGGAGCCCGAGATGAGACCGGGGCTCCGCTTATCCAGCTCCGACTGGGCTTCGAAGGAGCAGGGGAAGTGGACAAAGTGCCCACCGCTCACTTTAAAACTCCCATCTGCTCCTACCACTGCCTTCCTCCAAATTCCTCCGCAGAACTTGGCCGGCCCCCAGGAGAAACCAGAATCCTACCTTCCTTGAATTCTTCTGCTTCGGAGTGCATAGTGTCAGGGTAACCAGCTGCAGGGGCGATTACCGCTCACATGTACTCGGACTAGCCTCAAGTTCGCTCTGCAGCGAAATCCGCACACAACGGAAAATAAAAGGAAGAAAGCCACTAAAATCAAAACCTCCCCGGGGCGGGAGAGCGGGTTCTGGTGCAGGGATTTTCAGGGGGAAAGTTCTGCAAGAGTGACGAATCGCGTCTCAGCTGGGCGGCGGGAGTCCGCCCCCGGGGCCGCGCGCTCGGGCCGGCAGCGGGGCGGAGGCAACCTGGCGGGGCTGGCTCGGCCCGGGCGCACGCAGGTGGGGCGCAGGCCCAGACCGCAGCTGATTCTCCCGAGACACAGGGCCGAGAGGGGCCGTCGGCAAACGCACCAGACGGGCGGGAAAAAAAGGTATAACAAAGAAAAAGTCTCATCTCAGAGCACACTGTAGTTTTACATAAATAATAAATGTATATAGGGGAGAAGCAATGCTTGTGTATTTTGGATTACATTTTTTGATGCCCATTTGACTTTGTCTTGTAGTCTTGCACGCCAAAAATTATGGATTTTAAAGCAGCTTGGGTATGTTATTTTTGTAGGAAAGTCGCGTGGATATCGCCCATCAGGTTGGAAGGACCAGCTTAACAGAGCACAATTTCGCAAGTCCCAGAGCGGGGCCTTTTGAAGAAAGTGGAGCGGCCTCCACCCTTACCTTTGCACAGCAAAAGCAGACGAGGCTGCTTTCTCATTCAGTATAGCCCCGGGCGAGCACTGTTACTCAAACCCCAGCCCGGGCGCTCACTGCTGTAGTTACTCCCACGGGCCATCCTCAGGAGGAGAGATGGTTCCCTCCCTCCCGGCTACTAGCAACAACTGGGGATGAATTCCTTCAAAACGCCAAGGGGGAGGTTTTCAGGATTTGAAATGCTGATAGAATAAAGAAGCAGGAGAGCCTTCACAACAGATCTCAATTCTGCCCCCGGCTCTGGCCCACAGGCCCCTACAAATTGGCTGAGAGGAAGTCCCCTTAGCTCTGTGGAGCCTTGGTTTTCCCTTCTGCAAAGCGGGAACAAGAGCTGCCACTGATAGGCCTGTCTTATGGAGGTATCTTGTAGAACACTTGTTCTATCGCCAGTCTCACGCATAAAGTCCCAAATAACATATCTGAAAGATCCGCTTGGAAATTATGAGAAAAAATATATTCTTTTGACAAATTTATTTTCCAGCTCCTTTCTTTTTCTTCATTTCCCATTTTGTATAGGCAGAAACCAACAGAAACACTAAAAAGACATGGATTTAAGGAGTTTGAATTTAAATCCAGTTCTGCCATTTATTATTTGTATGATCTTATCCAAATTAACCTCTCTGAGCCTCCAGTTCCTCATTTACAAAATGAAGATAAAAATAGTATTATTTACTTCACAGATTTATGTCTGTATTAAATAAGGTAATATAAGCACAAAGCGATTTGAAAACCATAAGGACTACATAGATTATTACTATTGCACCATTAAAAGTAAATTTTTATAAAAGATACCCTTGGGTTTTATTTCAGTATTGAATTTGAACAGAAAAGAGTGCTTATGCTATTCACAAGCAGTGAAGGCTATTATAAATATTAATGTAAGAGGTCTAGATATTAAATCACATCCTACTGCTGAGAGATTCTAATATGCCTAAGATGCTAACATGTTATCTCAATTTCACTGAAAGAGCAGGATGAAGGGAGGAAGACACAGCCAGTCAGAGAAGGGAGAAGAGGAGAAACATCTGGAAAATATCAGTGTTGCAGAGCCTCCCGGAAACTGACTTCGCCACCGAAAGGGTGACAGAATGCACCCTTCCGAAAGTCAGTTAACTTCATGGTCCCCTCTGCCACACATCCTGAGTCAGGAGCTGCTGATACGTATACCTTGCACTCGGTAATCTCAGATTCATGGGGAGACAGCCTGAGATGAGGATGATTCTGAACCCAAAGAAATGCTCCCTCACTAGTCACAAGTGGCTTTTCCTGTCCTGCCCAAGTCATCATTCTGCCCCCTCTCTCCCTATACCATCTATCCTTGCCCTTCCTCACTGCAACCCAGGTGTCCACAGATAGTCCACAAAGGGTCTTAAGGGATCTCACCAGGGCTGTGTGCTACACAAGAGCTTCCACTGATCTATAATTGGGGTAAAGCAACAACTTTTCAAGGTGATGATTATGCAAATCCAGAAAACCCAAATTTCAGGCGCAGTCTGCCCACAGCAGAATTACTTTCACTCTCTTCTTTTAGAAAGTACCCTCATAAGGAATATTTATTAAATATCATTTTGCAAGTCCAACTGGGGACAAATCACATAAGATATGTTAAAATACATGTCCTTTAATGTGCTACTTGTTTTACAACTGCTGAATGAATAGTTCAAGCGCCCCCACGCCCCCACGTCAGCCTTATAATTCATTTTAGATAGCAGCTTCATTGATCTTTGAACATTCACCACCGGCCTCAGGAAGCCTGGAAACTTCTTTGGTATTTAAATGCAAGCAAGCAGTCACCTTGGGGAAGAATGTTCTGTTTTAGCTCAAGAGCAATGAATGCTCAGCTTATTTTAAAAGGCTTTATGTGAATAAGGACATTCCTCAGTCTCCTGTGTAACCTCAAAGCCATCTGCTCTGAGCAAGTTACATTGTCCCATACCCCTACCCTGCAACATGGTGACAAAGGGCAGCTGATTCTCTAGGGCTCCCCTTGGCCTTCTGCTGCTCTTCTCCTGCTCTCAGATATATACCAGGTCATCTTGATTTTGTTGTGCTTTTATTCAAAAGGGGATAATTTACTTCTTAGCCCTAGTGAATAATGGTCCAGTACATCATAATGATTTGTTATCTCTTATAGGTGGGACTTGTCCATTCTTGTATGTTTAAGAAACACCCCAACATCCTTTGCATGGCGACAATCTATTAAGGCCCGCCTGATACAAAATTGCAACTAAGTTAGCAACACTTCTCATTTAATAACAAACTGTACTTAGATACTATGTTGAACTCCTACAAGTGTCTAATAATGGAACTCCCACCTTTTGTGTCAAGATGGAAGAATGAAAATGCTGGCTAAGATTCTGAAGGTTTATTCATTCACTGAGGTATAATCAAATAAATTTGTATGCGTCATATCTAAATGGATCCTACTCACCTGGGGCTTGTTGATATAATTTTGTTCATTTGACCACAGACCTTAAGAACTCAACTTTCCAAGTCACTTTGGTTCTAAGGAAGGTTTATTAACACCAACTCTTGACTGAACTTTATCACAGAGCAGCAGAAAAATCTCTTTCCAAATTATGCCTTAAATAAAGCTGTCAAAAGAATTTTTTAAAGGCCTGACTTTTAGGCCTTTCGCTCACAGCCCCCTAGATGTCTGTTAAGAAAAGGGGAGATCAGTGAGTTTTCAGACTCACGCAAATTAGAAGGCCGGCTGGCAGAACTGGGAAGACAAGGTACCTTTTAATCAGAAGGTATCAAATATTCCACTCACGTTCAAGAACGTTATGTTCTCTGCAGTGAAAAATATGAAGCATCTCTGTAAACTAGCGTCTAGTTCTATAGAGGTTAGTTCTAGAACTATAGCCTCTAGTTTGCAAAAACGGTCATTTTCTTTTTCTATCCTGCTGATATGAGGCTGAATTTGCTTCCTTCAATTTGACTTTGAGACCTTCTTCAACTTTTCTTGTATCATTTTTGTCTACACCCTTGAAAGCCTTCAAAGGCTTCCATGATCTATACAAAAAGTTGGCTTTCACTCCTGTTTCCCCATATGTGGGAGAGATCTGTGTCTTGGTCTCACCTGGTTAGGCCTGTAGGCTTTGAGTTCTTCCTATTAAGGTTAGGCCTGTAGGCTTTGAGTTCTTCCTATTATCCTCAGATATGTTTACCTTTACCCTTTCGTAACACAAGTAGGCCTAAGTGGGTATCTCTCCATGGACTCTCCCTGGCCCAGGTTGTTTGACTGTCTTAGCCTTAAGAAAATTGTATTTATGGCTGGGCGTGGTGGCTCATGCCTGTAATCCCAGCACTTTGGGAGGCTGAGGCAGGTAGATCATGAGGTCAGGAGTTCGAGACCAGCCTGGACAAGATGGTGAAACCCTGTCTCTACTAAAAATACAAAAATTAACTGGGCACGATGGCAGGCGCCTGTAATCCCAGCTACTTGCAAGGCTGAGGTAGAAGAATCGCTTGAACCTGGGAGGTGGAGGTTGCAGCAAGCTGAGATTGTGCCACTGCACTCTAGCCTGGGCAACAGAGTGAGACACCGTCTCAAAAAGAAAAAAAAAAAAGAAAGAAAGAAAGAAAAAGAAAAAAGAAAATTGTATTTAGTAGAATTGAAGAAGAAGATGCTAAAATGACAGTGGAGTCATTTATGCACCTTTGCAGAAGGTCAAGCTCTGTGCCTCAAGTGGCCTTAAGTGCTGAGTACAAATGCTCCTCAACTTAGCAGTGAGGCTACATCAGGATAGAACCATCATAAGTTGAAAATATATTTAATACACCTAACATACTGAACACCATAGCTTAGCCTAGCCCACCTTAAACGTGTTCAGAACACTTACATTAGCCTACAGTTAGGCAAAATTATCTAGTACAAAGCCTATTCTATAATAAAATGTTGACTATCTCATAACTTTTTAACACTGCACTGAAAGTAAAAAAAGCAGAGGGGTTGTATGGGTGTTCAAAGTATAGTTTCTACTGAATGTGTATCACTTTTAGTAGAATACAAATAGAGTAAGGCTGGGCACCCTGGCTCGTGAATTTAATCCCAGAACTTTGGGAGGCTGAGGTGCGAGTATTGTTTGTGGCCAGAAGTTTAAGACCAGCTTGGACAACATAGAGCGATCCTAACTCTACAAAAAAAGTTTTAAAAGATTAACCGAGTATGGTGGTACGTGCCTGTAGTCCTAGCCACTTGGGAGACTGAGGCAGGAGGATCACTTGTGCCCAGGAGTTCAAGGCTACAGTGAGCTATGATCATACACTGAATTCCAGCCTGGGCAACAGAGTGAGACCCCTCTCTGCACACACACACACACACACACACACACACACACACACACACACAGTGAGACCCCTCTGTCTATACACAGACACACACAACTACACACAGAGTTAAAAAATTGTAAGCCAGGGACCATCTGCACTGGGATAAGACTGGGGAGGCTCAGGTGGGCTGAGGCAGAACGACATGAGAGGAAGACGCTGAGGATGAGTGTGGAGATGAGGGAGGGAGAAGGCCATTGGGAGCCAGGTCCTGGGAGTTTGAAGTTATGGGTAATCCCTCTCCTCAGTCTGCCCAGTGACTTCTCCCATACATTCTACACATTCACTAATGCTCTAGATGTGAGTGCCTAATTCTGAGAGAATGGGAAGAACTGCTGACAT